CTGGTCTTACGACGAAGGCATCAAGTACTCCTTCGCCTTTGAGCTGAGGGACACCGGTAACTCTGGTTTCCTCCTGCCGCCCACTCAGATCATCCCCACCGCCTCTGAGACCTGGCTGGCTCTCAAACACATCATGGAGTACGTCCGTGATCATCCTTATTGATCTCAGTAACATGAGAAAGGAGGATGTACATTAAAATGATTTGACACAGAATAAATGTCTCATCTTTCTTTGCTGGTGTATGAACTTCTGTCTTCAACATTGAACAATAAAGTCATGAATATATAGTTTTGTCTGTTATGGCAGACCTTTAAAAAAATATATATTTTCCATGTTATATAAACTGTGTTATGTGCTTGACTTGGTATAATTACTTTAGTTTGTAATTACTTGACAAGATTAAAGGTTTCACTTATAACTCCATTAAAATACAGTATTATCAGCGGTGGAAGAAATATTTTTGATACTTTACTTATTAATATTAACAATAATACAGTGTTAAAATGCCTACTTTGTAAGTTAAAGTCCTGCAATTAAAGTATTATGTTAAAGCGTCAAATACACTTTCAAAAATATATACTGCATGTTGTATTACAATAGCCTATATATTCTATCTAATGATGCAATAATGTGTAAGTATTTTTAGATGTAGCTGTTCATTGTGGAGCAAATTATAATTGTGTTGTTCATTTATACTGCCTGGTTGCTTTATACTCGAGTGACATTTTGACTTAAAGGTCCCATGTCATGCTTTTCCAGTTATTACCCGTCCCCTTGTTGTTATGAAGGTTTGTCTGCATGTAAACGGTCTGCAGAGTCACAAACCCTCAAAGTACACCCTGTAGCGAGTACAACTCTAAAGGCCCTGACACACCAAGCCGATATCGGCTGTTCTCGTAAGTCGGGAGACGAAGCGTGTCCTGTCGCCCAAACTCAATTTGGTGTGTCCCGCACCGTCGACCGTGACACGCCTTATTTGGACTGCCTGACCCGATCCATGGATCGGGTCTGGCAGTCGGACCAAACAATCACTCTGATTGGCTGTTCAGCTAGCGAATCAGTGCATGAGAAGCGAAACGGAAGTGAGGGACGTAAACAAACGATTTAAGAAGGCACACACAGACTGATATTCATTTTCATCTCATCATGGCGATCTGGAATGACGCAAACGAAGACCTGCTCATCACATTGATCCAGGAGAGGCCAGCTCTGTACATCACAGAGAAAAGGTACTCGAACCGAGTAGTGAAAACCGGACTCTGGCGAGAGATTGAAACACAACTTGGTTTCTCGGGTAAGATTATCTTTTTCATCAATTGAGCTCTTTAGCAGATATTGTTGGCTTTTTATTGTTTGCCAGCGTACAGTGACGTTAACGTGAAATGTAATTTGTTATTTCAACCTTGTGTTTTGTTGTTATCTTGTTGCTAGCTGTGCAGTTTGGCACTGCATATAGATATGAATTGGACATGCTAACTAGCCACAATGCTTACATCGTTTATTTGTGTGCTTCAGAGAAAGAGCTGAGGAAGAAGTGGGATTCTCTGCGAACCCAGTGCACCCGGTACAGGAGACTTGCCCCTTCGGGTAGCTGTGGAGCACCAAAGACGGGCAGACAGCAGTGGATCATAACCAGGCTGCAGTTTGCACACGCTATTTGTTGTTGTTTATATCACGCAGTCTCTTCTTATCTGTTTTCCGGTTATTGCCTATTTTTAATGACGAATACACACTACCGCCGCCTTCTGGTAAGGAGAGTTATTGCCACTCACGCACTGAAGTCTTTGCGGTGTGTTCCCGTGCGACACATGGCCAAGACGCAGGAGAACACTGCGACGCAACAGCCGGCGTCGGCGAGTCCTCTGGTGACTGCTTGGTGTGTCAGGGCCTTAACACAGAAAATACCTCCCCCGCCTCGTTGGAGATACGTCATTGTCCATTGTTTACTTCCTGGGTATCGTGACGTTGGAATGGCCAGTAGCCGCGCCGCGCCCAGAGCTATGACGCGGTACGGTCATGCGGTACCCGGAACCAAATGGATCAATCCGTGGAGCCGTTATGTTACGTCCGTGGAGCCGTTACGTTAAGCCCCCGCTGATTGGTCCAAATTGACCAATCCACGGACTTCGTCACACGCACTGAGTGCAGGCAGCTCTGCTGATTTCTCCTCCCTGGCTGCAGGCTGATAACAGACAGTTCGGATCGCGGCGAAATTCTCTCTGCAGGCCTATTCTCACAGCATTTATCAACCTTTTTCTTACCCAATATCAAGCCACACTTATTGTTTTTACTTCGGCTGTGACTTTGTGTGTGCTCAGTATGAGTTTGGCTGTGTTTCGCTGTCGCTAAACAAGGAAACCACGGAGCTCAGCGCGATTCACGGCCCGTCCACACTACAGCGTCGACAGCTTCAATCTGCCCATTCACTTTGAATGGGGTGACGTCACGTTGCCGCTTTTTTTCGCCGAACTGAATTGTGGGTAGCAGAGCGGTCCGTCTCCGGCGTCAGAAGTTGAACAATGTTCAACTTCTGACGCCAACAGCCAACGGGTCCACAATAGCAGCAGATAAGAAGACGGCTCTAAATGTTTATAATGCCTCTGAAACAATGTAAATATGCCAGTAATATAAGATAGAGAAACTATACATTTATTTATCATACTTTTTTCAATCATTGGTTTTAACTTTAACCTTAATATTGTCCAGATCTTGTATTTATTACACAAGAAACATTTATTATTCACTAAGAGATGTTTATATATAAGCTTTATTTATTTTCTGTGATATGATAAATGACATCTCATTGGTCCCCCTGCCATACAGTACAAATATACCAATATTGATCCAGTTCTGTAAAAGTTAATATCACCATATTTCTTTAGCCCCTTTAGCTGGATGTCACTTAGTTTCCTCTGTTCAATAAGTCTTCTGTATTAATGTTGCTGAATTCTACTTCACCTCAGTAGCATTCAGTAAAGTCCTCTGTATCCCTGAGCCACGCATTGCACCTATATTTCCATTGTGAATGATGCAAGCCAGTCAGCAGTGAATATCAGGACCAAGATGTTCATGTATTTCATTGATGTGTATATACTAATAATCAAACAGAAATACTGACAACATGTACTTTCACAGCAGCTGTGACAGAAAGTATATTTGATTAAGATCATTGCTTTGCTCTATGTAACTTATAAATAGCTGACTCGATAGATAATAACATTATTTAAATCAATGTCAAATGATATCGGTGGATGTAGAAAGTTGTAGATCAGGACTCAATGACACCACAAAATAACCAAAGATAGTGAGAAGAGCTGTGTTTACTATTATCCATGTTGTAGCTGGTTGGTGTAGTTTTTTGATTAAATGCTTGTAATTCATTTCCTCCACAGGTATGAGTGGAAGTACACAGGCCCATTATTGAGTTAGGTGTTCATCCTCAAATTCAGGGAAGATAAGTGATTTCCATGATGAAATGTTTAGCCTTAAAAGCATACATGTTGGTGCCTAAAACACCATTATCATTTATGTAAATCAGTCCTGTTAACCAAACTGATAATGTGTGATATCTGACAAGTTATCTGTTCATGACATGTTGATATTTAGATTTGTTATATTTACAAGATTATAGAATTCAAATAAAGAACGAATAACTGAAAAGTGTTCATAATTATGTATTATTATAAACCATGTTGATTACTGTTGACAATACCCAGCGGCTGAATTGTGTCAAAGCCCTGTGTGGTATTTAAACATAATTGATTTGGATGTCGGATAAACAACTTTGTCCATTAGGTGACATTTTTAATATTAAGAATCCTAGCAAGAGTTCTGTTGATGGAATTTAGGTTTGATATAATGTTCATTGACTGAAAAGCAGAAACACACTCTTCAAGTCATTTGGGCGGCTCTTAAGGGAGTCGTTGTTTTTCCAGGTGTGTCAGGGTGTAGATGTTTAACCTCCGAAGCCGTACAGGGTGCGGCCTTGCCTCTTCAGAGCGTACACCACATCGAAGACGGTCATCGTCTTCCTCTTGGCGTGCTCGGTGTAGGTGATGGCATCACGGATCACGTTCTCCAGGAACACCTTCAGCACCCCACGGGTCATCTCGTAGATCAGACCGGAGATACGCTTCACTCCGCCGCGGCGAGCCAGACGGCGGATCGCGGGCTTGGTGATGCCCTGGATGTGATCATGGAGCACTAGACGGTGGCAAGTACGCCTTCCTTTGCCGTGTCCCTTTCCTCGTCAACTCATTTTCGGGTATTGCTATGTTGGTTGTACAGAACGAATGTGTAGACGCAGTGTGACCGGCAGTCTTTACTTCACTGCGGACCTAAGAGAAGACGGAGATCGGGAAAGCTGCTGGGCGGGGCCAACGCTGCAGCCTCCACGTTGTAATACATCCATGCTTGTAAGGCAATGGGAAAAAGTGTTTCCGGGCCCAGCAACCTAAAGGTAGTGTAGTACCGCCGTTTGGCCACAACGAATATTCTCATCAGACTCCGGCGCACTTCCTGGGGGCTTGGGCTGGAGCTACAACGAGCTTAAAGGCAGAGAGTGAAATTCAGTGAATGCACGTAGTTTACAGAGATGCTGTATGAGAAACCAATGTGAGTTTGGAAAATTGCACAATATAAATATATTCTAGTAGACCTCAACAATGGAATTATGATCAGTGGAAATGGCCATGACATGGGACCTTTAAAGATTTTACTGTGGTATTAAAATATCTGCATTTTATTCCCATTAGTGTTACTATTAAAATCAGAACAGAATAAGAAAAATATATGTAACTATTTCAGTGATTATATATTGTATCATTAGCCTATGTTTGAATATGGTTTATTCACATTATATGCAATGGGCAAAAAAAAAAGTTCTTCCCGCCTCTCAATTTTAACGGCAGGAAGAGCTCAATATCGGCATCCTTCAGTTTAATGACTTGACCTTTACACGTTAATAGGCTTCTTGATTCACCACAACAAGAAGAAGAAAATGGGCTATCTCAAACAAATTGACATTGAAAACTTCAAGTCATGGCGAGGGAAGAAAGTAATCGGTCCTTTTATGAGATTTAATTGTATAATCGGGACTAACGGCTCTGGTAAGTTAACTTTGTACCATCAATTGTTGCTAGCTAACGTTAGCTGTCGATACTACTAAATAATTAATATAATGCATATGTTAAATAAAAACATAATTTATGTTAGACCATAACAAGTTTCTAAAATATACTCTTTTACCCCTACGTTTAAACTAAGTTAACTTTTGTACCATCAATGCTAATGTTAGCTGTCGGTGCTACTAGCATGTTAGTTTAGCTTAATTATTCTTAAGCTAGTAGGCTATTGTGCTAATATCACGTTTTCCTAGGTCCAAAATATGCTCTTATACAGTATGAACATTATTAAGACATACTAAATATAATGCTTAAGTAAATAATAAATCATTTGTGTCAGAGCATCAATATTCTGTGTAAAACACACTGTTAAAGGGTATTTAATAGTAATGTATCATGATTTTAACTTCACAAGGCCACTCCTTATATGGAGGTTAGTTTAGTTAACTTAGCTTTAATGTTAAGCTGGCTATGAAACACATTCTAGGTAAATCCAACGTGATGGACGCCATAAGTTTCGCCCTGGGGGAGCGGGCTGCCTGTCTGCGGGTGAAGCACCTCCGGGACCTGATCCACGGAGCCCACATCGGGAGGCCTGTGCGCGACACCGCCAGGGTCTCCTTGCGGTACTGCGATCAGGAGGACCAGGAGACCGTGTTCTGCAGGAGTATTTTTGGTCAGTTTATAAGTTTATCTTATTATCTGAGCATTCATATGGTTAACTGTTCAGAAAGCAGCAGGTGGTTCAATGGAGTGCAGGACAAGGTCTGCAAATAACTGTTATTTTCAATACAAATAAATATGTTGAATATATTCTAGAATATTCGATTTAGTTTTACAATCTCAGAAGATATTGCCAAATATCCATTAAAATGTTATCCTAAAACCCACATGTATTCAGTTTAATATGATGGCAAGCAGGAAATCACAATTTTGGAGAGGCAGAAAACTAATATTTTTGCTTAAAAAGTGACTTTGATTGTTTCTAGTTGCCTAGAAACATATTATATACATAGATTAGTCATAATGATGAAACTACACAGTTGCTTGTTTCTGTTTGTTTTGAAGGATTCTGTATATTTTTTCAAGTCTAGGGGTAAAAAAGCAAAAAATATGTTTTATTTGCCAAGTTTTAATAAATCATCTGATGCCAAATATTTTTATTATTTAAGGGGACTCTTCTGAGTATCGCATCAATGGTGTACATGTCTCGCTGGCCAAATACTTGGAGGAGCTGCAGAAAATCGGCATTGTGACCAAAGCTCGAAACTGTCTGGTGTTCCAGGTAAACACTACTGTTATCATTTGTGTAGGTACACTTGAATATATGCTGTATGTTGTATAGAATATGAAGTATATGAAGTGGGAGGTATCAAGATTGTAGGTATATAAATCAAGGACAGATTGTAATGCTGTGAGAACTCCGTTGCTAAATTAATGTTAAGTACTCTGTCTGAATAAATACTATAAATTACAATGGTATATATTTACACTCAAACATACAGCAGCACAACACATTCAATTCAATTCAATTCAAAACCTTTATTTATACAGATAAAACCCATTGAGATCATAGACCTCTTTTACAATGGTGACCTACTTCAATTAGTTCCAAACATTAATACAAACATGACAGAAAACAAAGGACATTATATGATACTACAGTTTGTATACTAGTAGCATTTACAGACACCAACATTTTCTGATTGTATAGCGTCTATCCTAGCTTTAAAAACATGAAATGGAATCAAACTGCTTAGCTTCCATTCCTTTTGTAGACTGTTCCATGCTAGCGGCGCTGCGCATCTAAAAGCTGTATTTCCTAATACAGTCCTAGCAGTTGGCACATGTAATACAACCACAGCTTTAGATCTCAGGCAGTAGCCATTTACAATACGCTGTGAGATCAGGGAACAGATGTAAGACGGAAGTTTCCCTAACATTGCTTTATAAATAAAAAGATACCAGTGATTTAAGCCGCCGTACAGTAAGTGAAAGCAACCCTGCCTTGTATACAGGGTACAATGATGAGTCAAAGTCTTACAGTCTGTCACAAACCTTAGTGCACTATGATAGGCGGCATCTATCTTGGTGAGGTAATTGGCTGGCGCATTCATATAAAATAGATCACCATAGTCCAGCACAGGTAAAAAGGTCATATAAGAATATACACCTTTGATAATAGTATAATATACACCTTACTAGTTGTGTAGTAATAATACCTTACAAACAAGTCTGTACATCATTGTTCTCATCACAAGGGGGCAGTGGAGTCCATCGCTCTGAAGGACCCAAAGGACAGGACCAAGATGTTCGAGGTCATCAGTCAGTCTAAAGAGTATGCTGCAGAGTATGATCAGAAGAAAGAGGCGATGATGAAGGCCAAAGAGGACACTCAGTTTCACTTCAACAAGAAGAAATCTGCTATTGTGGAGAGGAAACAGGTGTCGCAGGAAAAAGTAGAGGTAAAGTCATCACACAAAAAGAGCAGAATAATCTTTCTGCACTCTCAGCTACAGGGGTTCACAGTGGTGTAGTGGGGATTTTTTTACTGGGTGGACGCTATTTTAATTAGGTCCCAAACAATGCCACAAGTGTGCACGCGCGCAGTGCACTCACAACACGGGCAGACAGGTCTACAGAAACTACCGGTATGCTTAGTCCTACTTTAGTTACTGTACTGCAAAAAGCAGACGCCGCTGCGCTCAACACACACAGACTCAAAACCATGGACACACCGGCACGTAAGTTACATAAACAATCTATAGGCCTAAGTTGCATAAATGCGCTACAGTATTGCAACTAAGCACACAGCGCTGCTTCTCTCTCTCTATCTCCACTTTCAAAATCTATTTAAAACTCATAATAAACAAACTAAATTTAGCGTGATGACGAATCATAATTTTTTAAGGAAATCGTTTTTATATTTTATTATAATTACTGTGAAATGTATTATGTTTTTGTCATTATTACAACAAATACACACTTGCAACTGATAACACTGGCAAAATCCTGCTTCAAAAAACTGGGGGCTCCAAATAAGTGGGGGAACGGCGATCCCCCGCGTCCAACAACCAATACACCACTGCTTGTTCACTTCAGTTTCCAAAGTCACCACAACCTTGCAGGTATTTCCTGACAGCTTGATGTAGAACCACTCGCAGACAAATTAGGTGTCTGGCTCAGAGCAGGCGGCTAGAATAATTGGAGTGGAGGAGGCAAGGCTCCTTCAGTACTATCTAGGGATGTCCCCATCAAGGATTTTTACCCAAAGATCCCTATTCAAGTCATTTAATATAAAGTCCTAATCACATACTTAATATTTTCCTAGATACTACAGCTAGACAGTGCACAGTTTTATCACATTACAGTAATTATCAAATCGATCAAATGTGTGTGCTTACTCTTAAGTATTAACTTTCTTACATACCGACTACACCTTACTCTGGAAATCATTTTTTTAAAACTTTTTTTAATTTAAGTTTTTGGTTCACTCTGGGTTGCGACCCACGCTGTCTCTGTTAATTTAACATCTGAAATACCTTTATTTTTTACTTATATTACTGATTTATGTGTGTTCACTTTTCTCTGTGTGCGGCAAAACAAGCTCGCAAATTTGGCTTCACCGGTCTGGCAGTTTTTTAAGGTGTCCGAAAAAGACAGTAAAATAGCGGTATGCAAAGTGTGTGAAGCAGAAATCCTGCAGCTCTGCCCCGCTGTGACGGACCGGTCACTAAACCAGTGAGCGGAGCAACACACACACTAAGAGTTAGACCTAACACACTTAGCTATTTTATCTACCTCTGGAACAAGCTAAACTAGTTAAACATATATTTATTCTTCACTGTCGGGTCACTCATTACTG